GGAGCTGCTGCATTGTAAATTTTGGTCAATGACATGAGACAAAGTATATTTGAAGTGCTGTATGAAAAGTGAATTTACTCTGTAAATCTTCACCCAAATCCTAATAAAAAAAAAAAAAAAAACTAAAAAAAAATCAAAATGGCTCCCACTTGTAAAGACATACATCATATATGTCTTTACACCATATGTAAAGATTCAAAATGACTGCACTTTCGGTCACTTTAAATATACAAAATGGCTGCTGTGTGTAAACAATCAAAATGGCTGTGCCCTCTGGACAACAGACAGTCCACAGTGTAGGTTGTCTCCCTCCTTGCTGTTTCCCTTCCTAGTCACAGGCCATCAGCACAGTCATTCCTGCAGCCCTTGATGACCAGGGCTGATCTTTAGGTCAATTCTCAGGTCCCAACACCACTTGAAAATATTCAGGCTGTTAGTCCCATCAGAGTAGCTGACGGTCTGCAGCTCCAACCGTCTCTGTACTCACCATTTTTGTTCAGGTTTATCCAGTAGTTGGTGCCTCATCCACTTCTGTATAGTTCCTTTTAAAACTCAGTGCTCCAGGATTATCTTCTGTATCTCTGTCAATTGGTTTCTCTCTCCTTTGTTGAGGAGGGTCTGTGTGGCTTGTCTGCCTATTCCTCCATCTTATCAGAAGTCCCCCATAGGATCCTTCTTGCAAATGATTTCTTCATAGGCCCCACGGAAACGAATGGTTAAGCACTCAACTACTAGCCAAAAGGATGACGGTTCAACTCCACTCAGAGGCACCTTGGAAAACAGTCCTGGTGATCTGTTTCTGAAAAGTCATAACCTTGAAAACCCTAGTGTACATGCACAGGGTTGTCATAAGTCAGAATCAACTCAATGGCAATTAGAAACAATAAGCCCCCAAGCAGCATCCATCAATTACAAAGTTGTTCTGACTCTGTGCATAGTGTGCTAAGCAGCTTCTGTTTTGAGTCCTTTGCTCAGTCAGAATTCCAGTATCCACTTTGATTTTAAAACATTCCTTTGTGAGACACACCTGGAATTTTCCCAAACTGTAACCTATGCCTTTGTATGAGCACTAATAGTGGGCTTCCAGTAAATTGCAAATTTCTCTTTCAGTATTTACCTGGGATAGGTGTTACGATATACAAGTTTCACTACTGTTGCTCAAACTAGCTGAGATGGTTACTAGCATCATTTTCTCATTTAGTACCTTGTGGAGTGCCTGGCTGGTGCAAACAGTTAACGCACTTGGCTGCCAACTGAAAAGTTGGAAGTTTTAGTCCACCCAGAATTGCCTTAGAAGAAAGGTCTGGTGATCTTCCTTAAAATCAGCCATTGAATACCCTGTGGAGCAGTTCTACTCTGATACATATACAGTCACCATGAAGTTAGGTCAAGTCCATGGCAATAGGTAGTACCTTGAAACAACTTTTGTTAATGACCACAAAACAAGTTTGTCCATTTTACAGTAAAACCAGCTACCACATGCCTGTAGTTTGGATGGAAATCATAAGCCCTATTTTATGGTTCATTTTTGCAAGGTTTCCTAAATTTTGGGAGAGAAATAATAAGTCATGTACCAATTTGAGAGTTTAAGAAAATTATGGCCCCTGTCCCTTGATAAATGTGGATATGAACACAGAAGTGCTTCTGCACATGATTTCAGTGGATTCACATTTCCCCTGAAGTCCACCTGTAGATCCTACAGTGAGAAAGCCTATTTTATGGGAACAAAGAAAACCAAGATGCTTTAAGTTTTCTCACTCAGGCAATGCTGGCAAAATGAAGAGGCTAAACCAGGGACTCCTCAGCCCTAAGAGAGTGATAATAGAATTTTCCACGTAAGGCAGTGATGAGCATGAAATAACTTACACACATCAAGATTGTAGCAGCAAGATGGCATAGAGTTGTTAGCTGACATTGAGTTAACCCCTGTTCTGGTTACCTAGTGCTGCTCTGACAGGAATGAACCACAAATGGGACGGTTTGAACAAACAGGAGTTTATTCTTACAATTTGGAGGCTTTAAGTCTGAGTTCAAAGTGCCAGGCTCTAGGGGCTGGGTGAAAGCCCCTCAACCTTGAGCTTCAGCTTTGTCTTCTGCTCCTGGCCCACTGAAGCTGGAGGCTTTTCTTCACTCAGCTGCTGGCTGCTGAGGCTGAGAAGCACCAAGGTTGA